GAACAAATTTTCTTGGCGCATGCGCAACAAAATGCCCCTCTGCTCTCCTTTTACATATAGCTATTGAGGTCACTTGGCGGGTGAACAACAACTCAAAATGGCAGCCCAAGTCAATGTTTTCAAACAGAGTCGGCACCCGCCGGAGCTCCGGCGGGTATTCTGTTGTAAATCGCGGGGTATACTTTGCCACGTTCAAGTCGAGTCTTCAGAACGAAAAAATAAATAAATAAAATAACATTGTTAATGATGGTCAATTTAGTATTGGAGTATTTACCTTATTTATTTTTCAGATTCCGTGGCTTTTGATTGTTAGATTCATTCTTTCTGTTTGCTTCGCGTGTTCTACATGAATTCATCATGCGCCTAGTAGAAGTACACATCGTCGGTTACTTAAAATAAATTTCAAGCAATTCCGTACTGAACTAAAATCATCATCTTCGTCTCAACTGCTACTTAGAAACCATACTTGAAAATCAATAAATAGCGTACTTGTTGATAACACGTACAATTAAATTCGGCACGTTTTTGCAAAGATGCTTAAAAGTTTGCATTAAAAACACTTACCCGAGGCTAATCTATGAAGAGAGGAACAAAATCAGCCATTGTACACTTAGCGTCTAACCTTTTATTTAAAAAAAAAAAAGCTGCATTTGCTGTAAAAAGCCAAGAAGACCATGTTCGTATGGTTATGGCTTGCCAGAATACGAGTAAGTGACTTTCTGTTATTTTTCGTGAAGCAATCGGAGGCTCGACAAATGTTCACGCTGATATGAAAAACGGAATCATGAAAGCAGTTAGAATTTAATGGCTGATTGATTTAATTCAAGTATCTTATGTAAACGATAGCGAATACCCTAACGCTTCCGCAGGCCGCAGACGAGTAATCCTATAATTTTTCGGTAACAAGTAACCGGGCGTCTGTCCTTTCAGGAGACCTATGTGTGTAACTCAGGGAGCAGGTCAGAAAATGGAAGATTTTGATAAGGTCAATTAAATAATTGTTACAAATTAAGAAAACTAATATTTAGTTATTATTTACCGAAGTTTAACTCAGAAAACTCCATTTGAAGTCGGTTTATTCTGAATAGAACAAATGGGCTAGCGAAAGGGAAATTATTTCTTATTTTAGTCTCCGACGGTTGCTTTACCGAGGTAGCCACCTTATCAAATCTTATTAAAAGCGCTGCTATCAATCGCCTGGTTCGGCTGTCTACAAACTTAAAATCATGTTCAGAGCACACTTTGGTACTGGATGCTACTCTTCGGTCTTAATTTTGATCTTTCTTTATTCCGAAATTACATAGTTGGTTAAAAAGAAAGTAATAAACAACCATGACATTAAAAAATCGAGAAGAGACGAAATTACTATTCAGACCATTTACTCGTGCAGATTAAAATACAAATTCGTTTGACTAGTAGTTGAAGAATTACAACATGGACATTTAACTTGTGAAGCTTAGGATCCTAAGGGTATTTATGAAAAGACAAGTCTGAATTTGTGGAAATATTATGGAAGTTATAGACGCAATGATCGTGGACTATTCGACTGTTCTCTGCCCTTCGTAGTTGATTTGTTATGGCGGCGACTGTTGTTTACTCATTCGGACCACGTAACCAATCTCTGGTTACTATAGACCATACGTATGAAGCTAAAAAGGTCTATTCACCCTGAATGGATCAAATAAAATTTAGCCAACAGCTAAAACTTTCGATTAGCAAAGCTAGGCGCACAAGAAATAATCGATCACTTACTATAGATCATAAAGACAGCCAAGATGCTCGATTGTACTCCGCTTGCCATAGCTGCCATAGCTGCCATAGCTGCTTGATTTACTGGCTGACCATATGAAACATGGGCCGAAATATTTTATATAAGCATGGAAGGGAAGCATAATATTCATGCGAAGGGTTGTGTTGGTAGAAAAGAACTTGAAGATATCAATGCTAGAAATATATAAACAAACTTTTTAGATGTTTTTCATACAAAACAATATAATGTAACCAAACCAATGGCTTCATGGCAAATCATATTCTACAAATATTACTTAATAAAATTTGCTTCTTACCACGTCATGAGATTGTAAAGAGTTGATTAACTGTTCGGAAATGGTCTCCATTCGACCTCAAAGCTCCGCCATTTTGAAAATAACTAAGTAACCTGGCCGCACTTCCAAATGGCGGGAATTCATCACCGGCCGGCCGCGGCTGCTGCTAAAAATATTCCTCAAGTTTTAGGAGGAAAATTACCCTTGTGCAAACCTTTGCAGCTTTAAGAGGAAATCAAGTTGTTGAATCGAATCCATTTGTAACATCTGTAGACATACTTAATGGATTCTAAGGCGTCTCGTTACTAAGCTTAGCTTTTTCCCATACCAAGAGATCATAAAAGATTGTAATTCATCCATTTAGTTTGTATTTTTGCTGTTAACATCCCCTTTAGTCTTTTTTAGAAGGGAAATTGTCTATTGAAACAAATTTTATTAAAAAAAGGATAACCAGGAATTTCCTCATTGCTGTATAGACAATCCTTTCTCTAGCCCTAATCAGTCTGTTATTTACCACTCTCACTATTTCATTACTCTTCCATCAGATGATGTCATGGTACCATATCAAAACTGTACCATTTTATGCGACTTGTACTTGAGTGAAGAATTCCGGTCTCTTCAAGTGCATTAATTGGCGGCCACAAATAATAAACGAACTGCTTCCCGTACATACAACACATGGCTAAGCTTTATTTCTCCTGCCGCGCTGCAGAAATAAAGGTAAAATCTAAACTGGTCATCATGCATCAAAGAAATGGAAGCCACCAGGTAATTCATCTAAACACAGATCACGATGTCGCAATAGAATGACACACAAGCGAGTGAACACCTAAAATCGAAGAAATAGATGAAACACTTTGGAAAAATGACAGGCAGTAACTGAAGGGGGAATCTGGGAAACACAGAGGAGTCTTCGAGGAAGGGAGCAGGCATGCAAGGCCATGGAAAACCGCCTAAAAACCGTACTTGAAATGAACGACTTCATATGGCCAGAGAGGGCAGAAAGAGAACGAGGTATGTGACTCGAAGTGGGGTTGGTGAATGTCCGTGGCACTATTATAGGGATTATACTGAAATTGAATACATTGGAAAAAGAAAAAACAAAAGAGAAATTCAGGCAACTCGAAGGGTGGAAAACTTGGAAAGTACAAAGGAGTACAAAGTGAGCGGACAACGCCTAGGAAAACCGTTAAGGCCGCGTATTGAAATGTACGACTTAATGATAACTATGACGAGTGAAATTGTAAAGAGAACGAGACACATAACTCAAATCGTGATTGTGAACCTTCAAGGCAAAATTGAAAGGAATCTATTAGAATGGATTACATTTGAGAAAGAAAATCAGGGTACAGGAAGGGAGAAAAACCGGGAAAGTAAAGAGTAGATTTTGGGAGAGGAGTCACCTAACTGAAATCATGATCTTGAACGTTTGAGGCACGATCAAAGGAAAACGCACTGGGAAGTAGTAGAAGACACCTCAGTCTCGCGGATAAGCAAGGGAGAAGGGAGTAGGGTCGTAAAGAGAATCACGCATGTTTGAATATCTTAGGGGGGAGCAGCAAACAAGGAAACCACAGGGTATCAACGAGAAACCGTGTTATCACAAAGGTACTGGTGGACAATTTTGAAAAGCATGGACTCGCGCCAACTTAGCCACAACACGAACACTTCGTGATCGGCGTTTTTGACGTGTTTCATGAAGCAGTCCTTATTTATCGCCTGGAAGGATTGCGGGGTGGGGGAATCACTTGGTTTTCAGGAGCAAGGGAGGAGGTAGTAGTCGTCGCCAGCAAAGTATAAAGGGGAGGGGGACTACAGGAAATTGACTGTCAATGAGGGTAGCCCTATGGGATGATCAGATAAATTTTACTTTGACACAATCAAAATCCTGCGGCTTCCCCTCAAGGAAAAAGACTAAAGCAAGACAATCATGACAAAATGTTTTTTAAAACATAATCCACAATTAAATTGTTACTGTTGTTGTTTTATTTATTCAAATGTTTCTCTGTTACTACTTTATTTATGAAATATCACTAGTTAAACCTTTTAAATTGATACAATTCAACTTTTCTTTTCTCGTATCATTAAAACATCTTTTAATGACGGTGAATGACACTTCTAGTGTGTTAATCGTTCAGTCTTGTTTCAGAAAACACCATCGTCAATGTAATAAAAGGTAACCAAGAAGGTTACAACAACTCAGTACTTTAGTAGCACAGATGGCAGTAATATTTACACGTATGGTATTCTCACAGGAATCAAAGAAATATTCAATCTAGACGCATGTTAGTGCCGCAAACGGTTCTGTAGCTTTTTTTCCCTTGAAAATTAGACGTAGAAAATATAATTTCTTTGTCCCACGCTTACGGTCAACCAAGCTTAAAAATTTATAACGTTTTTTGCTTTCTTGACGCAAATCAGAACTTGTACAACCACAATTCTACTCAAGCTTAAGGTCTGTTGGATTCAAACATTTCACTGTTTGAGTTTTGTAGCTTTTGTTGGAGAGAGCTTCATGGAAAGAAATTGTTTCGATATATTTACATCTTTTTACACAATTACTCAGGCAACTAACATTTCAAAAATCGCACTAGTAAGTGATGAGCCGAAAAACAAATAGGTGTATCGTTCTTCATGTATAATTTGCGTCACGGTTAAAGTAAATCCATGATCTTTTCAAGATCATTTTAAACAAATTGATACACCATCTTTTTATTAATATAAAGTTTTCTTTAAGGGAGCTATAGCATTATGATTATTTGACTATCTTTGAATGTAAAGAAGGCTGGAAAATATCAACTCAGTAAGAAAGAGGCAAGTACAAAGCAAGAGGCAACTATGAACCAAGAAGGAAAAGAATGTACAAGGAAGAAAAAGATTAGTACTTTGAATTGAACTTTCTGAGTTCCACCCTTCTTGTATCAGTTTTTCATGGAGGTCAGAATTAAGAATGTGTTAATAAGGAGAGGCCTTACAGCTTCTCTTACTTTTAAGCAAAAAAGGTTCGCTGTAAAATGGTTGACTCTTACGTCCATTGGCGTAGACAATGTAAGCTAACAGCCAAAAGCGGTTGCGTCTTTCCGAGTCCACTGTGGACAGCTTGTATACTGGAGAGCCGGTGATTGGATTATGATACACAGAGTCCAAGTCAACAGAGAAGTATTGATCCTGTCTCTGGTAGTTCTTCAAGAAATAAAAAGAAAAAGAAGGATCAGTAAATACACATAACCTAACCACACAAACCTAATATCCAAACTTAACAACCATAGCTAACTATACTAGATTTATACCAAACTTGGGGCAAGTGTTCCATTAAAATTGTCCAAGAAGAAAGAGAAGCAAAAGACTCTAGGTAAAGTCTAGAAGAGCTGGGCATGAAAGCAGTATTTTGATGCTCACAGTTCCTCCAGACTTCACCTAAGGACACCGCAAGCTTGATGGCGAAAAATTCCGAGAAAGACTTCTAGTCATTAAAGGCTATATGCTCCCTGTCTAAAATGTAATTTATTATAGCAGAATGACACAATAGAACAAAACGGTGAGTAACAACAAGTACTAGTAATGTTCCATGAGTTACTAGTGTATTATTTGCTAGCTCGCCACTGGCTTTATATGTTTCCCAGGTTCTATCGACAAGGTCAATGTACAATATTCAAGCTTTTTTCACCCTAAACCTAACTTCCTTGATATAGTATGTTATCTAAAGAAGAAAAAAAATTAAAAATCATGTTCAAATGGCATTGTCTACACGTCCAGTACAACCGGGCAATGACATAACGCACTTTTTTATTCAATAATACAACAGAATAAATACTTACATCAGAATACATGAGATTCTCCATCTTAAGTTTGAGTGGGACTCTACCATTGCTGTCTCCGCAGAGAACAGCAGCCTTTGGTAGCCTCTCTACGTACACTTCTACTTTAGAGATGGGTGTATCGGTCGTGACTCGTAAATTGATCGTGGCCCCTTGGACACGCTGTTTCGATTTCTTGTTCTTTCGGCACTGGACCTTTTCGTAACACTTCTGCACGTTGAAAAAGACAACCTCTTCCGCATTGTTTGTCTGTATGCGCTGGAGAGGAGGGGGCATCTCGGCATAACGAGGTGGCTGTGGGCATGCTGCCCAGTTTAGGAAGCCGTTAGTCGGTAGGTCACTGTACCTTTCACAATCTTTGGACTTGGGTATTTGGAATGGTTTGATGTCCCTGAATGCATCCAGATCGTAGTCTACGAATGAAACAAATAATACATCAGCTAAGAACGCAACAAAGAAAATTCCTTTATTTAGCTCAGGTCATGAAGGAATTCTTACCCTGAGTACAAATGTTCGTGAATAATAAACGAATCAAATCATGTAATTGATGTACGGATGACTAAGGAGGAATAGTTGAGACATTGTAAAAATTGAAGACTGAGAAGTACACGCCACGACGAGGTATGTTTGTTGTTGTTCAAAACGAATTTCGGGTTAAAAGCATTTTCAGCTGGAGTTATTCACTCTTTCATCCTTGAACGAAGAAAGCCTTGAACAAAAATTAAGTTAATTTAAGACTAAAGGAAAGTTATTAGAACAATTGCTTCACGAGAATGTTAATTAAATGCACTCTAAATAAATATGCTTAACTATAGACCAAGCAATAAAGTGTAATGACCCTGGCAGCGAGCGCACCGTGCCATCCAGACTCACTTGTGTTTTTCTTAATACTGAGAAATGTCATGCGGTCCCCTTAGAAAGTTTCCCTGCCACGAGCAACAGCTGTCTACTCAACCTGCAGACAACTCCTGTAAGTTCACAATGAAAAGATGCAGAATTGTTCTGTTGTCTACCTAGTAAGACACCTTTCCACGAATACCACCAGCAAAGAATATTAGCGTTAGTAACGCGAATGACAGGAAGTCTAAAAAAAGTCATTTGTGACGATTGTTTTGTTAACCGGAAAAACTGCAGGATCACTTCCTGTTAGTTCTAAACTGATCTTCATTATTGGGCTCAAAAATATTCCAGATTCACTGCAAAAAGCACCGAAGGTTTTTCAAAAGTGGTAAAATAAAATTCACCCATTATGCAGAGAGCGTCAGCCAGAACTGAAGAAAAAAGGCTTAAACTTGGTGCTCAAAGAAGACAGGAAGTCGATTCAACCGGAAGCGTTGTCACGATTGTTATGTCACAGTTTCCGGGGAGTGCAATGAATGCAAAGTGACATCAACGCTACAGGAAGAAATATCTAAACCAAGGAAAAATGGAATATCCATGGGAAGCACTGTTATTAAATATTGCTATGAACAAGGTATTCTGAGTAAAATACTTGAGCGGTATATTGAAGCTATTTGCTGAATAATAATTGGTAAAAGAATTAAAAGAGATTTCGGGTAGTTCAATCACATCTGTTTCTAGGAAATAATTGGTTACAACGGTCAAGCCATTCATATCTTAGGTTGAGCCATCCATGAAAAATAATAAGGAACAATGGTTATTATTCTCATTACTTAAACCCTATGTTGCACTGGCTAAATCAGAAGTAAGCCACTTGCAACGCCGTTAAATATCATCAACAACAGGATGTTTCGATGATAGAAACTCTTTATAACTAGAGTGCCACTTCTACTGCGAACATTAGGTACCCCAGCCTCACACTCCTAACAAATTATCCCAACTCATTTCACGGCTCTTAGACAGTTCCTTCGTTAAGTTATTCCTTCTCTCAAACATAAAGTGATTATCTGTCGAAGATTGTAGCCAACATTTCAACTTGATCGTCGATTTGCAGTAAAAACGCTCAAATAAAAGCGTATATGTTTCAGATAGTTGATAAGAAAAATGTAAGCTGCGGAAATAATTTCAGTATACCATGAAGAATTAATCGGACCTTAGACCTTCGGATTCCGCGCTCCGACATTCTACCTGTCTAGGCTTCAGAGAACTTAATGCTTGTATACTTATACGTTCATACGTGACACGCGCCTCGTATACTAACTGCAAGGATCAGCAAAGTCGAAAGAGTCATGCAAGCTATTATACAAACTGAAAATAACACTTAAGCTTTCGCGTCCTAGAATACTGAAAATTACCTTCGTAACTAGCGCTATCTTTCGTTTCTGCCGCTCTCGCACTGATCGTTTGTGCAACTGTATTCTAGAATCGACTTAGAACTGAATTCTCCAAAAGAGTCTTCAGCCCACAGAATGTCTTCCCGTCGCGACTGTATTATTTTGAATAAAGGGGTAAGTTTCCAAAGAAACTGTGGTGCTGCGTCGGTGGGAGAGTATAGCAGGTAATTTAGTGTTAACAACTGGGTTGAAAACGTAAATTAGCCACCGTAAAGGGTAAAAAAGCTGACGTTTCGAGCGTTAGCCCTTCGTTAGAGCGATTGACGAAGGGCTAATGGTGGCTAATTTACGTTTTCAACCCAGTTGTTAACACTAAATTACCTGTATTATTTTGAGTTAAATTATTCAAGCGTGGAGCGTGGCAAATTAACATGTCATGGGTAAAATAAGTCGTAATCGTTTTGAACAACGGCCACAATTTTCTTTTATCTTTCTCTTTGCACAAGCAAAATAAATTATTTTTTACAGGAACAGCTTGGCTTGATACAAAAAAAGCCTACCTCAGTTCGTTTCAATTCAAGTGACGAATCATTTTAAGGTGACCGCAGATTTAAGGTGCTCGTTTTTCGCGCAGCCTAAGAGTGCGTGCAGGCCTATCTTAAGAACATTTTCCTGTCACACACAATAAAGTACTTGAGATAAAAGTATAAAGAAGAGTGATACGATCTTAGACTCCATCTGCAAGCGTTGGAGTGCGTATTGTAAGTCGTCGTCAGGAAGTGGTAAAACTGACTTAGAATAACAATAGGTTAGCATGGGAGTAAGACGTTTAAGAAGGTCTGACTTTGTTATATATTAAATGTAATATTGATAGTTGGTTCTACTCGAAGACATAATTCCGTTCTAAAGAAAATTCCTTGTTCACTAAACCGTTGGCAAATCTTTGAAAACCCACTCGAAGACCTAAAAAAATGTTTCGTATCTTAAATAAATTGGTAGCTCGGTCTGCGGGGCTAATATCTCGCTGATTTAGTTTACTTTTGTCCGAGTTCCTGTTAAGCACGAACGGCAAACTTCCTTCAGCAATTGGGTAAAAAAAGTGTTTCTTTATACAATGGTTGTTTCAGTATTAGAGCAGTATTGGGTATATCAGTTAATGCGCATGGCGATTTAATTAGAGCGAAAGAGGATTTCCTTTCGTCCTCTAGCAGATACGTTTCATAGTTTTCAGCAGCTTTAAAATTAAAGCAATGACGTATTTGTACAGAAATAAAACTTGAGCATTGCAAAGAATGATAATTTATACTGATATAAAGAAAACCTCTACTTTGAAAAATATAAGCGCAATCGATAGTGAAATAGATTATTAAAACGCTCAAAGCCTCTTTCCTTTTCGTTATTTTTCCAAAGTATCCGTTTACTCTCAACTGCGTTCATCAGCAAAGTCATCCTCTCTATAACTACTGGTCATTTCTTTGTAATTCAGTTGAGGGTATTTGGTGTTTCATAGAGAGCTTTTTTGTCCACACTTCTCGCCCTTTTGTGGGCAAATTGTGGTTCCATGTTGGTGGCTCGATTTTTTCCTTTACTTCCCTTAACAGCTTCACTTTCTCTTTCTCATCGCAAAACGGCCCTTTACTCTTTCATTCCCAAACTTAACGCTTTCTTTTGAACCTTCCATTCTTAAATTTGAAACCATTTTCTTTATGATTTTCCACTGACAAGACAGAACAGTAGGTGTAACTATCTTTGTTATCAGTATAAGTCACGGGGTAGACACAATGTTTTTATTAACCCTAGTTGGACGACCTCGAATAGCTAATTAACACGTATCAAGCAAAGGAACCTTAACGTGATTTGAATACAAAAATTACGGACTGATGGTTTTTTTTCTCAGAAAATCAAGGGAAAAGCACACCTATAGGATATGACGTAGTGGAACAGGAAATCATCCTACTTTCATCGCCTTAGTACGCGGAAGAAGTGAAACTCTCGGGTAAACAAAACCCTGAAGAGTCCCGGAAAAATTTTTGTTGATGGTTTAACAAGAAAATCCTATGATCCTTTAAGTACTAAGAAGCTAATCAATCATGAAGAATGAGGACCAATCTCTAAACAAGGAAAAACGAGAAAAATCTGTTTCACAAACGAATTTTTTGTTGTCTGACTGTGTCCTCGAGATTTCAGTTTTGTTCACAGTATCATTCACATTTGCTATCACTCTTATGTGGTCTATCTTAAGCCAAACGTCTTAATAAGGGGTTACGATTTTTGCTGAAATAACGTTTGTAGCGTGCTGAGAAAAGCTTTATATCTGATTTCGTGGGATATCCTTAATGGCTGCGGTGCAAACAAGCGGAAAGAGCGGAATTCTATATCATTTGTTCGGTTACTGTGTAATGTTACATGAGAATCACGTCTTCATAAAAAAAAATTATGGTGGTATCGCTTGAGAAATCAAAAAATTTTGAAACTATCGCTGAAGAACTTGTTGTAAAGGAATCTTAAAATCTGATATGGGTTGACAAACTAAAAGACACTGTATGATGTAACTAAACTTTTTTCAAACTACCTTAAATTTCATCTTGCCATAGAAAGATTTCCTTTAAAGGAAACGTTTTCATAGAGAGCCAAATTAAAAAAAAAACATAACCCCTGATGTCACTGACCCACAGACGACAAAAGGTTGCCAATTTTCAAAGTTAGAGGGAATATGTATTCCCAATGTTGTATTTGCTTTTTTATTACTGATTAAAACGATACACAATCCCATAATTGTAAAAATGTTACAACGAAACGGCAGTAATCAACTCCAGTCAAGGTAAAAATGCTGGCAACCAAGTTTTGCTCAGTTCAACGCCAAATCAAAGAAATTTGATTTTCGAGTTTGTTTTCAAGAAGGACTGATTGAAAATTATCAACTTACTTTGTAGGATATAATCTGCTGCCAACATTTACACTTACCATGGATGAAATATCTCTCCAGCTCTGCAAAGCTTAGAAAACCACCAAAGCATCCATCTTCTATCTCCATTTTTGAAATATAAATAATTTTTTTTTCAGCGAATTATAGAACGTGATTCAGATGCTCGGCTAACAGCCTTCAGATAAATGCTATCAACACTGCTAAAGTATTCTGTGACAGGCTTAAATGGAAGAATTTCAGAGAGAAAATCTGTGGGTCAACAGTAGTTTTCTCTGAAGCTTGCTACAGACTGAGGTTGTCGAATCAGTGATAGAGTTTGAGCGTATAGGATCCTTGCTAATTTATATCTTTAACCATTCATTTGATTGACAGCTTGTTTTGATATGTGATCAGTGAAGCAGGAAGCGAGAAATTTGAATAAGACGCCACGTGTCACTCATGTAACATAAAACAATCATGCCGTATGTCGTCCTGCAGTGCTTTACTTGACGCTATGACTTCCCAATAGTCTTCATGTAAAAAGATCTCCCTGAGCTCGCTCGCATTTCTCATGTAGATTTCATTTTAAAAATGTTTCGTATTCGAGCGAATTGCATTATGACCGGAAACGCCAACGGGAAAATCATAAACAAAGCAGTTGTTTGCGTGACCGTGCCACATTTTCAAGGGTCAATGATTTTACTGTCTTTTGGATTATTGGGCTGCGCCTTCGGAAATACAATTTGCCATCCAAAAAAAGGCAGACGGGGAGCAAAACTTAACGAGACTCTGTGTATCGTCACGAAATTTTTTAATAGAATTACTTTCTCACTTTCGTTATCCCAATGTGTGACAACGAAAGTCCAAGCGAGTCCAATCATGACAAGTTGTATTTGTGGAGAGTAATCTATGACGATTTCCTAACTTCAAGAGGCAATTAATCTCTATGTTCTGTCCGTCTGTATTCTCTCTCAAAATCGCCATGTTGAATGATATCGGAAAAGGAGCGGTAACGTATGACCGGAAACGCCAAGCGTGCACCAAATAAGGGATCATTTGGAAATCAGGGTGTGTGTGGATTTTGGCACAGTTCACCGTTCTCCTCCTGCAAATAAAAGTGTTTAACCCTCTTAAAATAAGCCAGATGTTGGTTTTACTTAACCCTGTTACTCTTCGAATTTAAGACAGTCCTTTAAAAAAGGTAAAAAGTTTCAAGAGACACTACAAAGCCCTAAACGCTGAACCGGAATATAAAAGTTTCGGTTTTCCCTCTTGTACCCAAGGTATAATCGACATATCACGCGTTAAAATTAATAAAACAAAAACAAATGGATTGAAAATTTATCTCTATTGTGATATCAGTGGGCTGAGCCAGGTTCAAAGGCAGACTTAACCAGAGCCGACTGTGAACTTCCTTTCAGCCGTATAAGGAAAGATGAAATTGAATTGTAAACAGCATCTAAAAAAAAAATAACGTGATTGAAAAAAAAACACTTTTTTCGGTATTTTATTTTACCTGTGAGGAGGTATACTAAAACTACGGCAAGCAAAGCTGCAACACCGTTTCCGAAGTTAATTAGATCATCCACAGTGACGGGAAAGTTAACATGTAGAGTAAACTCATAATTAAATAATGCACTCGATATACCGTTGAGACGTAACTGCTTGGTTTCGTTTGCTCTCAGCACTGAAGTCTGTCCAAAATAGATAAAAGATCACCGAAGTCCGACTTGGTGCCAGAGTTAGCCAGAGTAAAAGTTCTTGGTCATTAATTAATTTCACTCTCGTTTATTGCTGAGAATAACGTTATAGATATTAAAAACCCTTGAGCGTCGAATGACGTACTCCACTTTTCAAACCACAAAATTTCAGTTTAACAAGGGCAGTGCTTGCAAAGAAAAGCGAAAAAGGCCACCTCGAATCGAACTGCCTGAATTTTCTTCGCCCCAAAAAATGGCCAGCAGGGAGCCTCCGACAGGATGTAAACTTTCAGGATGCTAAGAGGCGCTTAATCATTACTTCCTCAATTTTGAGCTGAAACCGCCACGAGGCGCAAATCTCTTTTTTTCTTTTTTCGCTTCAAAAAAAGAAAACACTCTCCTGCTCGAACGATGATTAAACCAAGGATGAGATGCGCTGTTTCGTTCCTTGGACGTTGCTGAAAGTATGGTTTTCTAAAACAAAAAACTACCTAATGCATTAAAATATTTTTGGACACGTCCGTTTATGAACGAGTTAAAAGAAGAGGGAATCATATCTGTTAAAAATTAAAAAAGCGAAAAAAAAAATTCAGGCTCCCTCTAAAATTTCATTACAGTTCAACAATAAGGAAGAATCGAGGAGTCGTAAAAGACCGCAACATGGGACTTTAGAGTATTAAGAAAAGAAAGAATTTTTTTTTATTAAACAAATCAGAATGAGTAGGAATAGGTTAAGATTATTAATTCTTCTTTGAATGAAAATCATCAAACCGTAAAGATTTCAACAAACGGGTGTGTTCTTCACTGCTGTAATGCGTTGCTTTAGTAAATTTCATGTGCATTAGGTCTGTGACTGTAAGTAACAACTAATTGATATATCAGTCATGTTTTGTGTTTGTCTTTCGGATCAGTTTACTCGCGTATCACTTTCATGTGTTTCCGAAATGGGACAGGGCATGTTAGATGACTATCAAATCATCACATTTACCGGCTGAGTTCGGAGGTCACCGTGAAGGAAGCGTCTCATGTGAAGCAAGAAGATAATATTACAATCGTTTCAGTTGCCATATTTGTTTTTACATCTTACGACCTCTGAACAAGTTACAAATATACATCTTGAAAATAAGGAAATTTTTCTGTCCCTGATCTTTTCACTTCTTAAGTTAAATAAAGCTATCCAAAGTTAGAGAAAACTTTACACAACCCAACTTTCAGTTCAGTGCGACTAGTTGCAAGACTTGTTGAGCAGTGACCTAAACTGGTAATTATTTATCATCAGGCCACCTTTTGAGACGCGTCTCTGAAACAGAAATCAATTCGCGTAAGATAGCTGTCGGCACTTGGCGACGCACACCGATCCTCTCCCTCTCGTATTTATGGTTTTATTATTGATACACTAAACTGACAAAGACGTAAACTTATTATTTAATAATAACAAACACTCCTACAGCCTCTGTTTTTGTTTCTCCTTCCTTCTCTCGAAAATCTCGCTTTTCTTAATTTGCTTTCTATTTTAGGAAACCATTAAAAGAGAAACATATGTACACCTTTGCACACCTGAGTCAAGCACTATTGTGTATAAATAATTTTCGTCGTTTTTTTGTTTGATAAACTTCTGGTGGAAGATTCATCCTTTAGTAAGTAATAAATGACACACTGAGTAACACATACGAGCAGAAACAGAGACCTTCCAATCAAAAAGAGAATAGGAAGCGGTGGCTGCGCACATTCACGAGATCTCACGTCCGAAGTCAAATATAGGGACTCGTTAAGAAGGATATCGGTCTAAATTCACATGCCTCCATGCAGGTAAGATTTCACGATCAAATCGTGAACTACACTCTTCGCGTCACGTTCATGTTAGTCTCATCATCCCGAACTGTCTGAACTGCACTCAGGATTCAGTGTAGTTAGGACTCAGTTAAACCTTCATTTGCTACTGTTCATTTAAGATTCGTGAGCAATTCTTCTTAATGCTCGAGCGTCCTTTTCAGATGTTTTTGTCAAAGTCTGACTTGTATACATTTTGAAATTTGTGAGGCTAAGGACGCCTACCATCTCTCCCCCGCTGATCTGCTGGAGGACCACGTGGGCACATATTGCTTTTTCAAAGTGAAATGCTATTAAGTCCCAAACGATATGACTCATAATTGCAAAATTATCAAAATTACAGGAATAATTTGTTTCAAGAGAAAGTAATGTCCCAATATTTCCCTCGTTTTGTTTCTAATCGCAAGAGTAACAAATTGATGAGGTTTAGAAAATATTTGGCACATGTTCATCTTCAGTATTTATGTGAATAACCTTTCCTGTTTCTCCAATTTTGGCTAAAACATACCACTTGTCCGAAAGGAAGTCGTTCAATTCATTTCCAATCTAGGATTCTTTTTTCTCTATTTATTACCCAGAGATCATTTACTGCATTACCGCAGAGCCTCAGAAAATAACTTCGACAGGCGAGCATAACTGCATTACCTGAAAAAAATCTTAGTCGACATAAATTATTGAGCAGACAGATAGGAAGCATTACGTAAGAAGATTCAGGGAAACGGAACCATTTCAGTGACATGTTCTTGTCACTTTTTTGATGTCAAATATCAATCCCTATGGTTAATTAAAGGTTTTGAATGAGACAGACCGTCGACGGTTGTCTGCCTTCGGTCGTTAACGGATGGCGAAGTTAGGTCATATTCGATATGCAACATTCTGTTCATAGAACTTTTGATAAATTCATGTATAAGTATGAAGGGGGTAAGTTTTTTAAGGAAACTGTGGTGCTGTCTTGGTGAATCATTCGAAGCATTCGCCTTGACGAAGCGCTAACGCTCGAAACGTAAGCTTTGAAACTTTTACGGTGGCCAATTTACATCCTTAACTCAGTTAGTAAAACCAAATCTGTGGGCATGTTAAAGTATAGCTGGATATACAACTGCACTTTGAGGATAAAATTGCAGTCGCTATGGATAACGATTGATAAACGGTTCTCTAAATAAACCACTCTGTAAACCAATGCTCTCAGCTCCGTCGGTCAGTTTCCTTTGACATTACAATGGACCTAAGACGTCAAATTGAACCAAGTATCAACCAATACCAATTTCGAAACTTTAATTAAAGTTTTTATAAAATAAGAAATATACCATCGAATGGAAACACATAGTACTGGGCAACCTCAATTGGGAGATGTCTCCTATGTCATGACACTAAACACTGGTAAAATATCGCTTGAAAAGAACATAAATGGAACAATAATAAGACCATTACGAATGGCAGAACAGCATTCAAGTGGACAGAAAATGACGAATTTAATTTGTAGCTTTTTCAAGACTCTAAAAGCTAAGACGTACCTCCTATCATTAAATGTTTATTTAATTTGCAGTTTAACTTCATAAATGTTGAAGTTCAGGATTGACAATACAAGCCCTTTTATTTCGCACTAAACTTTAGTTTACAGGTTTGCTGTGCACTTCGAGGTTTAAGATTGTCTCAGCAATAAGTTCACATGATAAGTATACTTTGTCGCGCTGGAATACTGTCGTGTTCAGGTGAGGTTGCGGGATGATAACGAAAGCAAAGTAGTCTTAACGAGGTCACGTGACTTGCTCAAAAGAGCAAATCATAACGGTCGGAAC